CTATGCTCCCTTTTCCGGGTTTGATTTCATTCAAGAAAAATCTCATTTTGTGGACGATGAAAAAAAAAAAACAGTTTCTGAAAAGCTAGCTAAACAGCGTAAAACATTATCTACTAGTCTTTAACTCATTTTTTAACAATTAAAAGTGCTCAGGTTTTCTTTTTTCCCTTTCTTTTTCTTACTAGAATACAATCCATATGAGGACTGATCAACTAATTAACAAAAGCCGTGGTCCTTACCTCCTTTTGTTACAGTAAGTGTATCGATCTGCACTGCCGACTACTTGATCCGATTGTATATGTTGTCAAAGACTTGGTCATTTGAGTTATATATATATACAATTGAGTGCAAGTGAGTGCAATGATATTCAATCGATGTTTTTGCTTCAATCATTTAAACAGTAACCCCATTGTCGTCAACAGCTTTATTGACACACGTACTGGATTCTAAATACGTAGGTAGTTTACGTGAATAATGAAAAACAGCATTAAAATATACCGATAAATATTCATCAAGTCTAGTCCATGTGTTTAGAGCCTGTCCTTTGAGTTTATATCGTATATAAATAATGAACAGGCTGTTTCCTTGATGCCCTGCCCTGACAGACAGCGAGACGACGGATTTCTCATTGATGCTCAATATGGAGTTTATCGACACACCATGGCCACAACTTGACTAGTATATGAAAGTCAATTTCCTTTTCGATATTCCTCAAGGCCAAAAGCTGTGACACTACACTTAGTTTTCATTTAACACTATGATATTGCCTTAATGCACATGAAATGAGTTTAAGAAATTGCGCTCCATTCCATTTACAGGGTCTTTGGTTACTATATGTAGCATATTAATTTTTTGTACCGAGTCAAATCTTTTTATATCTTTCTACATGAACGAATCGATGCAGTTGCAAAAAGGAAACTGCACTCTAATAACTGATTAAGGAGAAAAAATACGTTTAAACGTCGAATTCCACTAGTGTCAAAAACATTGCATTTTACGTCTTCTGAAAGTACTAAGTCATAAATGCATCAAATATACAGTATACACGCCAGAAACGTATTTCTTTCTAGTTCGATATAACTAGGCCCCTAAACAACGTCACAAAGGATATTGCATTAGATCATGCAAATATTTACATCTCTTATCGGAAAAGCAAGAAACGTTTAATTGTCATAATTGACATACGTGATCGTTGGTCCAAAAACACAGAGTGGAAAACGTCAAACGTCAGTTTAAACTATTTGTTTAACGATTAGTCTTGCAACAAAAATTGGCTACAAAGAGTTTGTTTGAAATGAGGTTCAAACTTAGCTGATTAAATGGATCGACAGAGAGATTAATTGTAACCTAGAATTTTTGAGTAAAAACAACGAGCAAAAGCGTCTAAGTGATTGTTGCTTTGGGCCGGATTTTGCCGTTTGTTACGTTTTAAGGAGTATTACCTTTGAAGACCTGATTTATTGAAGACCGAAGCATTGAAGGCTGTGATGATGGATGTGAATCAAAATTCTCGTTAGTACACTTCAACTTCAAAATCCGTCTCTTTGTCTGATCTATTTGCGAGAACAACTGTTATAATTATATGATATATATGCATGGCAACTGATGATATTATTTTTCACCCTGATTTTAATTATGAAAAATAAGATCGATTTTCAAGACTACAAACCATCCTTTTGAAAATTGAACTTATAACTCTACACAAGTAGCAGGKAGAAAGGCGGGTTTGGGGTGGGTCTATTAGTAAGACACCAAGGGATTCCTCGCAGACTTAAATTAAGACTCTTTATGACGTCAGTCAATCGAARTAATTCGAGTAAATTTGAATATCAGAAGCACGATTAGATGGTAGGAGCTACAATCACAGATCACAGACAAAATGTTTTGAGACTAAAATAAACGTTTTCCTGTTTTTAAAGTCGATGGCTATACCTTCTTCGACTAGCTATACTAGTCTATCTACGTGAAATTTCTGAACATTTACTAAAATATTTGATATATAAAATGAATTTCGCCTCGGGAGAACGCGAGTTCATATAAGCTCAATATCCTGGATGGCACAATCTATAGATTTATCGTTTGCGAAAAATATAACACGATATTTACAAAAAGCATGGCTAATATTAGCATTATTTACAGTTTAAACCGATGAAATCAGTAACACTCAATCTTGAAATAAAACCGCATTACATTATCTGTCAGTACGATAGATCAATATGTATACTCCAATATCTTCAACTCTGCAGTGCCAATTTTAAGTTGCTTATCTKTTAGAGGAAGGGTATTATTCTTTTATAAACTTTGTCAGTTAGAACTTAGATCATAGCATATCATCTTTATTACAGATAGGCTTGATTATAGAGTGATTTTCATCGGACTGTGAAACCTGAGTTCCTACACTAATAGACGCTAGTAGAGTCTACACACATTGCTTTCTTTTATTGTAATACAACACAATAAACAATATTGTAATACACAACAATAAACACTGACTTGTAGTAATTGTTTCACAGACGGATGAAAATGACTATATATGACATTAAAACCGTTTTTCAGTAGTTGCTCCCTTCGTCTACCTTAAGCTGTTTGCTGCAGACCTTTCACAGCCAAGCCAAGTGTGAATAAGTGATTGGCAGCGTGCTCGTTATAATCGTTTCACTACAACATACCGCCTAATAATACAACCTTAATTCCTTTATAGTATATTAAAAACCTAATTAGAAAATTAAGCATTAATGACATGGGCCATAGTTAGAATTAACCTAATCCAGTATAAATTGTCAGTAGTGCGTTCAACATGACTGTCAACTTACGTGTTGCGCCGTTCTTCTAAGAATGAGGGTTCACTTGGTACTTCTACCAGAAAGAAATAGTCCTCGTTCTCAGCGATCTCACTCTCTCTCAGGTGTATAACAGTTCTTCCTGAGTGACTGACGTCACCAATGATGAACATAGTTTCCCCGAGGCGGGCATCGCTAATGTTGATATACCTTAGTTACTAATTCAAATTGTTAGAGCCGTGCGAACGTCAGTAAAGCAATCTAACTTCAACAACACGAAGAACAAATATTTGATTGTTTTTTCCCTTTACTAATCGTTTTGAAAGGATATAATTTACTTTTTCATATTATTCTATACCTATTTATTAGCTGTAAATTGTTTTTTTTTTCTATTCGCTAAGAGAAAAGCACTCGATGTTGAGTCTCAATTTGCAGGCACAATGTTTACTAATGGATGGGAAATCTACAGCACTTAATGCAGATGGCCAATAGTTATAAATCATCACCGAGTCAATTCTCTAGCGTTGTTTACCAGCGCTATCGAGTAACATTTGAGCTAAATTTAGACACCGAGGAGAAACGGAGAAGAAGCTACTTTTTCAAAAACAGGCTCGCCCCTGTTCACCACCTTCCGGCTTTCCCTCTTCTCCCTTCCAAAAGGCGCGAGAAAAAAAAAATCAACGGTAGTGTAGGCTTACTGTATAGCTCACGTCAAGACTTCGTTCTTGCCTGCACTACTCTCTACCTCGGTAGCTGGATTAAACGTAGTTTCTTGCCACCTCCACCAGTTAAACCGCGTCTTCCTTTTTTTGACAAAGAGGACTATTCCGGCCACATATTAACAGAAATTCCGTTATCAGAACAAATTTTCACCATAACGGAAAAAGTTTCTGATTGGCGAAAATACTCGAGGTGAAAGAGTGGTTCATATTCAGTATTTTATTATCAATTCTCCCCACATTCAGGTACATTAACCCTTTTCATCTTTCTAAGGCTATGTATTCATGCCCTTAGGTAGTATTTTGTTTTATTTTCCCTGGAGGATTTAAAACAAAAGTTTCTGGCTCTACTTCCTAGGTGCATCCTATCATTGACAGGAAAGGTCCTTAGACGTGATGTTGATTTAATCAGTGGTTTTTATTATAAACCTGTGAAACAAAATGTACTATTGAATTTTCATCATACTTGGACACGGCAACTAGTATTTCACAGGTTTAGGACCGCCAGTTCACACTAAGAAATAAGAAGCATAAATCGAGAAAAAGCAAAATATTTTGGGATTAGAAAGGATTAATGCGCTTGCTTTTTTTTTTTGCTTATTGCTCTGTTTATGTCGATTCTAATGTCGCACGGCCGACTGATTCCTCTGTCTGAATGTAAAGTGCGTTTCATGAGTTTATGAGAAAAAAAACCCCTGCGGTTGCAGAGCTAAGTACAAAATTAGTCTTTTTAGACCACAAAATCGTTAATCCCGGAGAAAAGATAGCATCGTCTCTACAAATCTCCAAATTACAAAATTTGACTCTTATTCTCTAGAGGCTTTTAGCCCTTCATTTAGTGCCTTGGTCTGACTTCCKCCATATCCGGACTATATCCCTTCGTTTTCGTGGTTAGTCTCGTATTCTTGATATATAATAKGCTTCTAAGTTGATAAKWTGTTCCYTTTTAGAAATTAATGAAACCGAATCAAAACATTCATTCAGTTAGTATAATCYGACATCAATCAGGAGTCGKAGGTATATCCTKCTRSGGTAAGGATATAACGACTATCAAGTAGAATGGCATTGCATACTTACGGAAGGGAATAAGTGTTTGGAAATGTCATCGAACGAGACACGAATTGTACAGCTTCTTAAAACAACTACAGTTTAAAGCGCTGTCCACACGAGTGCAGAGATTTTGCATCCGCAAATGTTTTTATTCGAATACAGCTAGCAATCATGAGTGTCCACTTTGTACGTTTGGTTTCTCGACATTGTCTCTGGAAATTACTATATACGGAAGCAAAAACCCCGGGCTCATCCCAAAACAGTAAAGAAAACAATATGATGATGATGACGCTTGGAACAATGTATCAATCATTCCATCAACCAGCAGTCAATCAATCAGACATTCAGCCAATCAAATCTAATCAATCAATCAATCAATCAATCAATCAATCAATCAATCAATTCATCACTCAATCGATAAAAATCCGAATAAAGAAATACAGCAGCTAAATTTCTGGGAATTGTGATGTTTATTTAAGCTATTTTCATCTTTGATGACAAACGCAGACGTTCTCATTGGCAGACACACACACCTTTAAATATCGATAAAATTGAAAACGTTCATCATTCTACTCTKCATACAGTAATGGATCTGTTCACAGAGTATCTTCATTCATCACCAACACACGACCTATTGCTKCATCTCTCCGCCTTGAATTCGTATATCATCAATCTTTAAGATCATCTTGACTAATTGTGTCGCCAGGCTGATTTGTTGTTTCTTACCAATAAGTGTTTCGATTACATGTTGTTTTTTCATATCTAGAGAGAAAAACATGTTAGAGACAATTATCCCTATTATTGCAAAGACAATTGCATTTAGTAAAAAGGAAAACATTAAAAAGAAAAAAGAAGATGACTTGATAAGTCGAAAACGTTTGAACTCTAAAAAACATTTTCCAATACTCCTTAAGTACTTAAAACATACGAATAGAGCAAATATTATGWCAAAAAAGAAAGGGTTCAGCCTTTTTAGAATTTTTCAATAGACTTTTTTCGCGGTTAAAACCAAAGCGGGCAACACGTTTGCTTCAGCTTTCAAATGAACAAGAGTACCAACTTATGGCAAAATTATGACTTTTTTCACCAACAAAAATTATTTTCCTGACATTTGCAAAAAAATAAACAAACTCAAAAAGGAAAACGTTTTTGGGTCGCTGCCCGATTTTTGCGTCGCTCTGGTGCAAAACCACAGGTTCCTCACACAATTTGTTTTCTAAACGCAAAAAATGCTATTCACCGATTTCTCTTTACTAAAGTACAAATGTTTTTTATGACATTTTKTTCAATTAAGTGTATAATATATAATATTACTTAGTGAAGGGAAGTAAAAACATATTATTAACAACTATAGGATTGAATAAAAATAAATAAATAAATAAAAAAACAATAACCATGCTTGAAAACAAAGTAGTTTGGKCAATGTTTCAAAGCTCACTTATATTTCGTCTGAAAATGCCTTGTTTTTAATTCAATCTTTTCTCTCTCTTACCATTGATACCAGTATCCATACAATCTACACCTAGTCTTGGATTATTCTCAGCAACTTGTCTTGATTTGACCTCAGCTACAGTTTGTATGGGGTTTAAGCCTGAGTTCTCTGCTAGTGCCAATGGTATGTTATCCAGTGCATCAGAGAAAGCACGCATAGCATATTGTTCAATGGTTGATATCTAGATTTGAGGTATAACATTATAATTAAAAGGATATGTTTACACAAAATTGTCATCAATTATATAGACTGAAATTATTGGCACACCAACTTAAAAAGACATGTTCATCCAGCTTARTGTTTTACATTTTTCATATATGGAAAATATGACGGCTTCAAATCATACAATATCTCTATTYATAGAGCATCAAGGGATAATAAAGAGTAAGGTTTTCCTTATTTTTATTTTCAAACATGAACAAAAGCTTGATAGAGATACTGGWAGACATAGTCATTTAAAAAATTATGAATTTATTAGTGTTTTTTTCTCCCATTCTTGCAATGTACTGTGCYATTTTTAGAATAATTCCATGACATCATCTATATGTATACAGGAATCCCAATTATTGTAAACCAACCTTATCAGCTTCTTTTGCTACTGCCAATGAACAGGCAATCTCAGTTGCTCCCCCACCATATACAATCCTGTTATCACGAACAAGATTACGTACTACACACAGGGCATCATGGATACTGCGTTTAGCCTCCTCAATTATCTRCAATGGATACAATAATTATTACCTTTACATCATACATGTACACTTTAATAACAGCTATAATAATGAGCTAAACAATATTAGAAAACATGGCTAAGAGTCCATCAATATTTTAGTACCTAATAAAGTGTTTGACAAAATAAATTGGAATGAGAAAAATGGAGAACTTTAGGTATTTTATACATATATAAATGATARAATGGTCAACTAAATGACTGACAGATTAAATAATATATAAAAATAAACATAAGAATAACACTAACCATTTTATTTCCTCCACGGATAAAAATAGTCACAGCTCTGGAGTTCTGACATTGTTCAATAACAAGCATCCTATCTCTGGTSGTACCAAAGCTCATCTCTTTTACWAGTCCAGCTTTGCCTAGCTTTTCTGATGTWAGCTCAGAGAATCTRGGAACAATACGACCTCCTGTTGCRATGGCTATAAGCTGGAAGCAAGAAAATAAATTGTCATGTAGGTAWAACTAACACTTTGTGTCAAGACCATAATTCTATTATCCAATCCCATTATCCATTACCCATAATGCACTATTTCAACTGACTAATACTCGTGAGTAAAAAGAAGTAAAAAGTACTGAGAATTTCTTATCAAAAATACTGCACTATTTTGTGATATTTGAAAAGTTTAATGTGATTTTGGATTGTATTTTGACATAAAACAAATTGAAAAAAAAATTCAAATAGTGAAGATTTCTACCAAACATTAGCTTTATTTTAATCTGGAAATGATTGTAAACAATGCTTTTTTTCAAGTTTTGAAATAATGTTCCAGGTGTATGGTAGGTTCATGATATGTCTGTCAGTGACCAATAAACTAAATATCATTTCTTGATTGGTCTAAAAACATCCAATATCATACATTGTGAATGGCGATCACTGTATACATTACATAGGGTCTAGATATACATATTGACATCAAGATCACTGTGTATAAATTACCTCAATTTCTGGACCACCAACCCATCTCACKGCTGGCAATTCATTTTGTAACAGAAGATGGTTTGCTTCATCGTCAAATCCCCATTGACAGATAGCAAGGTTAGCACCWGTGTCTTTCACCTGCTTGACCATCTCGGTAAACTTGTCTTTTTCATACTGTTGCAATTTCTTGTAATCCTCAACTGTCGTCACATCAAGTTTGTGTTT